CCTCTTACCTTAATTGAAAATTGGAAATTGAAAAATTTATGTATATATATATATATATATATATATATATATATATATATATATATTGTATTTGTAATCAAGAAATTCCTGGGGGGTAGGAAAAAAAAAAAAATCTAAAAATACCTTCGCTTTTGGATCAGCAAACATATTATTTTTGAAATGCCTACAGTTTGAAAACGGCGCATTAGATTTGACCCAAACTTGTAGGAAATTTGAAGAACAGTATAGAAATTACTTAGTATCAATTTCATAGAATTCCATTGAATAATTTAAATCAATATAAATAATTGTTAACAATATAATAATAGTGAAATGTTGAAGCCACTGATCATATGTAGTGGGAGATAGGTTATTACAACTAAAAATATTGTTATGGGATTATACAATTGTAGGTTTTATTCAAAAACTTAATTAATACTGTACCTCAGGCCAGCCCTGAAAAACTCCGAAGACCTGTACAATGCTGTTCATTCCTTTACGACTAAAACCCAGGAAGCAGTATGGACGGCTTCCTCCCCTGATCACTCCTCAAAAATCCTCAAGAAACCCAATTCCACAACAACTCCTTGACCTAATCCATATAAAACGCCGTGCCAGATTATTATGGCAACGCATCAGACATCCCGCCGACCGCCACTCCTACAATTATCACTGTAAAAAATTAAAACAAGAATTAGCCACCTTCAGATCCCGATCATCCAACTCCTACCTCACCATACTCTCTGCTCATGATAATTCCCTCTGGAATACCACCAAAAGAATCCTAAAATCCCATCATATTTCCCATTCCCTTCGTCGAGGTGATAGTACCTGGGCAGCGTCTGATGTAGACAAAGGCGAGGAATTTGCCAAGCACCTTTCCTATACCTTCACTCCCCATCTAGAATCTCATCCTGCCCACACAGTAAAAGTAGAAGAATTCCTTTCTTCACCTATACCACTCTCCTTACCACCTAAAGCAGTTAATCCCTCTGAGGTCAAATCACTCCTAGTAAATCTCCTGGATACGATCTTCTAACCCCGCAGATCCTACGACAACTACCATCCAAAGCCATCATATTTCTAACCTATATATACAATTGTATCCTGCGAACTACCCACTTCCCTCTCTTATGGAAATATTCCACCATCATCCTTTTTCTGAAACCAGGCAAGCCTCCCAATAATACATCATTCTATAGACCAATTAGCCTATTCCCAATTCTTTCAAAAATTTTTGAAAAGATCCTACTGAAAAGAATCCTACCCATAATAGATTCCGTAAAAAAGCAGACTTGTTTTTCCTACTTGTCCCACTCTCCTTGTTCCACACATTCTCCTTAATTTTTTTAAATGGAATTGAACTACTATTAGTGCAAAAGGTGACATTTTGTAGTCTGTAACTGATGTAAGTAGTCTGCTTCTATGAAAAATAGCAGATAACAATAAAGTATGAAATTATACTAATAATTCATAAAGAAATAATGAGTTTTTATGCTCTCTTGTAAAACAATCAATTTATACATACGTCCCTTTCCACTAACAGTAGTGAAATGCATGTTCAGTATGCATTTTTTTATTTTATTTTTAAATTAAGAATAATCAAATACGGCAATCATTCGCATATTAATATTAGCTGATAAACGTAATTCGTAGATATCAAATACGCTAGTGTTCTCCGAGAGATTTTATTCTCATACAAAAAATTGTATACCTAGTAATATAGTTATATTTTAGCCAATGAAAATGGTGAGGAAGCTTTACTGACCTTACTTGGCAGACTTTTTTTATATATTGTTAATAATGTTGTCAAAATAAAATTTCTATGTTGTAGTAATATTAGCATTTTTATTATATATTAGCATAAACTCATTATCATTTGGTTTTGGACACCTTTTTCATCTATACCTTTTATACCTTTTCATCTCTCCTACTCTCTAACACGGTGTTCGGTTAATATAATAAAAATAATAATAATAAGTCATTGATAAACGGCATGTAAAGCTATACTGGTACCAAACCGCAATAACAGACCACACAACAGGCTTAATATTTTGTTCGTTTCGAAGGATGAGAGCCAGGCAAAGATTGTGAAAATAGGGGTGCCATCGGATGATAACCTTCACGAGGGGGTTGCGAAAAAAATTCGCAAATATATAAGACCTTGGTGAGGAGCTCAAGGAATTATATACAATTGATAAAGTGAGGGTTTAGCCGCTGGTCATCTCTGCAAATAGTTTGATTCGGGACATAACAGGGGCTCCATGAAGGAATTAGGCCTTTCGACGAATGGTTTGGAGCTGATGCAGAAAGCAGTGTTACTCGGAACAGTATTGTTCCGTATCTAGCAGTATATCTAGTATTGTTTGAAAGTTTATGAATGGAACAAACTATGAATAAGTAATTATTTATTTAAATTATTAAATAATAATTAATAAAAAATCTTTGTTCTTTTTTGGGTTCTGAAATCAAGGTCATAATTGGATTGTTATTAAGTTATACAGGGTGTCTCGTAAGTATATGGAAATTTGTATAGGAGTGATAGCAGACCCCAAGAGCTACAAAACAGTTCATATTAACAATAGGCCAATTTTTCAGTAGAAAAGTAGGAAATCCAAGTTTTGTGTTTGTTTAAGGAGGTCGTGTTTTTTGTTGAATATGAAGCGATTATTAAAGCAATATTTAATTTAAGTAATTAACAATTATTACAGTTAAAGGTTGTAGAATAGTATAGAATAATGATTTCGTAGCTTCATACGGGGGTCCCCTGGGTGTGGGATCGCCGACTAGCAGACCTGGCCTGACCACAACACTCGCAAAATTTTGTTTTCTTTGATGGCCATGTTTTGAAAGAATGATTAGTCCCTCCACAGTTCTAGCGGAAAGAGGATGATCGGGTTTAGCAACCTCTTCTCTTCAATTCTTTGTTATTTCCACTCCGTAGGCTTGATTAGCTTGTTTCTTAAACTTTTTTCTAGCAAGAGTCACCATTCTGAGAAGGTTTCTCTTGCATAAATGGAAGACCGCATCAGATAGGTAGAAAAGGAGATTACCCCAACATGCAGATTGTATAATTGTAATGTGAATAGGTTCTACATTTTTGAGACTTTACCAGTCGAAAAAACTTATTTCCCTAAGTCCAAATGTACTATGTCTCATGTGCATGAGAAAAAATAAATAAAGCACCTGTTAATATTTTAAAAGCTGGAAATCCTAAAGTTGTCATTTTATCTTAGTCTTCATCTACTGATCTGTCGTATACTTGGGATAATAATACAATTTCCAGTTGGATAGAACAATTTTTCCCAGTTTGATCTGTCATAATCCTCACTGTGGGGGTTTTGATAGCCTAAAGTTTTCTCTATTAAATGGAGGTGGTTTAGAATAAACTTACATCAACTGTATTGCCTCAACGACATGGCAATATGGTATAATAATATCTTTATTTATAAAATAAACAATTTTATTTGACGAAACTTCGTTTGATTATATCAATGTGTTTTACTTACTGTTTGCTACATAAGGTAGTTCCTATATTCTGGAAGATTACTCTTATCATTGGGTTGGCGATAGACCGATAAAACCAATGATGATAATACAATCCTTACACTATCAGTCAATAAAATTTGCTATCACTAAAGAGAAGATTGATGTTGAAGTGAGAACCAACTTGATATCGTGTCATCTAAATTAGGTTTTCATTCCATTTTCGATTCCTCACTACCGAAAGTATGGAAGGTTTGAGGTTAAAAAAAGTTATTGATCAGAATTGGAAATTAACACTGTTTTACGTTTTAGACATCAAGATCAAATCTAGTTCGGTATCTGTCTGTTTGTCTACAAATAGTTGGAAGAAACTTGGAAAATAGTGTTCAATTACTTAGTATCAATTTCATTAAATTATATTTAGCAATTAAAATATAAATAATTGTTAAAAATATAATGGATGAGAAATTTATAAGGCATTGAACAAATAGAATGGCTAAATTTGTACTACATTTTTATGAGGTTAGTCTTATACGATCTTAAGCTGTATTCAAAAATTTAATTCCTTGTTTGTTTCTGTTGAATTCTAACCAGGTTTTTGTTGTCTCGATTCCCCTCCTAAACTTTAAAGTAGTAGAGGGCCAGCTTTTTGAATTAGCTATTTCTAAAGGTTAAGAAGTTGATGTCAATAAATTTGAAGTAAGCATGGGTCATTCTTATATTATTTCACCATTTAGCATTTCTGAATCTAGCAATTCGGGTTAAAAAAATATCAAATTTTTGAAGAAAAATGTATCTCAAATATTAGTATAGATGTCCTAGATAACCAACTTCAGCTTCGAAGGTCAGTTTTCTTAATATTAGTTTTCTTTATTTAACTTTAATTATTTTTTTAAATTATAACTTAATTAATAAGTACTTAAAGCTTATTAAACGAGGATGTTTTTCTTCAAACAGTTTAAGTAAACAAACTTTATGTGTACATTTGAGAGATGCGATGGTTATGAATATAACAAAACCGAAATAATGCTGATTTTAAGGTAATTTTCAGAGATTGGTGGCTATATGGTCCTATATAAATTTTATCAAATTCCATGTAGTACTTCCGCTTACGCACGCACAAACGTATTTTATTAGATATGCCAATATTTCAGAAACGGCTCGTTCGATTTGGTTCAAAAATAGGCGAATGGTAGATATTGGTAAAAAAAAACCATGTCATATCAATTTTATTAATTTCCGTCCACTACTTTACCTTACATTTGCGCAAACGTGTTTTTCTTGTTACGTCTCAAATTTGGAGGGAAGTTAAAGAAGGGTAAAGAGATAAAAATATTTATTCATTTCGTTTTTATTTTTTCTCGTCGGTCATAGACTTCCAATGAAGTCCTATGCGGCTCCAAGTGTTATAAAATAATGAAGTTATGGATGTCAATCATTATTTACAAAGATAATCTCATTGTCTCTAGTAACCTCAAATTTATAACTAGTTAATTACACAAAAAGATACTCACCTCACCGATTGGTTTTACTACTCTCCCAGAGGCTGTGGTCAGCAATAACACTTCGAATGCTATAAATATATTCTTTTCCATGCATTCGGCCAGTGTTCTGAATGCTGTAGTGAGTACGATTCTTCATAGGTGAGATAAAAAGAGACCATTGTGATTTTCCAAAGAGGGGACTTGCCAAGTAAGTGTTATACCTAAAATAAATTTAAATTTATATCATAAAGGCAGTTATGAAACTTATATTATATGACTACAAGAGTTCACTCCAGGTCTCCTACAAGAGTGTGACTTCAAGAATGTAACTGCAGGAGTGATTAGTTCAGAGGATAATGGATTTTATATACCCAAGAATAGCAAGGGGGTAAAGGCAAGTCGGAAGAGGACGGCAAAGGAAGCGTGCGAAAGAAATTAACTATTGAGAATAGGTATCCTTATCTTTTAGAATTAATATGATGTCTGTGAGACAGAGACCTTTTGCTGAAATCTGTTATTGTTTCCTAAGTCTTGACAATGGGTCTTGTGTCGAGTCGGTACATTCTAGATAACTATTTCTAAGCTATCTGAGATAGCTTAATCTGGCTATCTAGGGATAGCTTTGTGCTTTTATCCTTTGAGTTATGAGAATTGTCAATACAATACATGATTCACCAATTGGCATATTTAGCAAACTCAATTATTAAAATAAAAGTTAAATTAATATTATTATTATTATTTGTTACGGATTAAGTCCATTCCGTAACTGTTGACCTATGGAACGTGTAAGTCAGTGTGGAAAATGTTGTTATTCAAGTACCAGGATGTTTGGGTAATTAGTTATAGTATCTTAGATTGAAAAGTTTGAAGTCATTTTATGTGTGTTGGTTTTGAAATTCCGTATATTTGCAGTCCGTAAGTCCAAAGAGGTTTTAATAGATATGTATAAATATTTAATTTCTGTTTTGTTTTTAATTTAAAATGTCGTCTTAATATTGAGTGCAACAGTTTTAGTCTGTAATTTAATGATGCACTTTTTTTCTTTCATTGTGGTCCCATGTTATTTTTCTGTCAAACGTCAGGTTTAGGTAATTTACTCTGTCTGTTTGTGGAAGGTTATCGGTGGTAAATCGGTATGTTGTCTAAATATACAGGAGGACATGTTTCTAGTCTTAGAGTAAATGTGGTGTGTTGTGACTTTTGATAATTTATTTGAGTTTTCCAAACTTTACAGCAGTCGTTTATTTTGTGTAAATGGTCTACGTTAAGTGATGTTTGTGTAGGATTATCGTGTCTAGTAATGATGGCAGTGTCGTCTGCGTAGGTTGCTGTAAGGGTGTGGATACTTGATAGAACTGAGATTGATCCCTGAGGTACACCGGCTAGAATTTTCTGTTTAACTTAACACTAATTGTTGAGGAACCATTAGCATAGAGAAACGTCAGGTTGGATAGTGAAAAGATCTTTGCCTTTCTAACATGACTCTCAGGCATATCTATCCTGCCATTCATTAATAAATTTTGTTTTGACCCATCTCAAAATTTCCTGTAGAGGTAGTTTTCCTCTGCCAGATCACCGTTTTGCTACCACATCAGCTCGTTCATTTCCATACAAACATACATGATCTGGAACCCATTGAACCATAAATTTGTTATTAGTTGAACGGCGAACTTCTATTATGGTATCTATTAGGTGAGATGAGATATGTTTTCGATGTATGTTTTTTAGTGCATTGCATTCGGGAGCGGAATCTGTTAGAATTATAACTTTTGTCTTTTCTGTTGGCTATTTTGAAAGCTTCATGCAATACTTCATTCATATTTTTACGTTCCATCTTAAATTAGTTTTGTTTTGAATGATGGAAAATACTGATCTCTGAAACTGAACGAACAAAAAATTGAATTTTAATGTTATCGTCTGGAATTTTTTTAAATCTCGAATAGTCAAATACGTAATCTGCAAATGTGATACCCTTCCATAAATTTGTATTCGCTAATGAAGAAAACCGGATAATAGCACCACAAATGTAGAGAGATTACTGTATTTCCAAAAATGGTTTTTCCCGGATATTTTATTCTCAAACGAAAAATTGGAAACCGTGAAATATAGATAATTGTTTATCCATTGAAAATGCTGAGGAAGCTATACTAACCTTACTTGGTAGATTTTTTTTTTTTAAATCCATCGAATTTCATGTTATACCTAGACTTCTATTTAATATTATCTAAATACTGATAGTCTCTAGATGCAGGGGTTAATAAAGGATTCTTTGCTAAAATAGGTTTGAATAGGAATGAAAGGTTTGAAAAGTACATTATTATAAATAAAATAAACCTTCTTTAATATTCAAAGATTTAAAAAATATTATGTCAGACAGTTGAGGATCAAAACAGTGATGCTATTGCAAAAAAATTAGTTGACATTTTAATTTTTTTTATCTTGTATATATTTTGTGCAAATATGTAATAAACAAAAATGCTAAGACGGTCTACCTCACGAGAACTTACATCTGCCAAGAAATCTCGTTTTCTCCTTAACTCTTTATAATTACTTAATGGTAGTACAATTCTAGCAGCTAAAAATATTTTAGTCACCAAAAAAAAAAAAAATAATAATATTAAAACATATAATAAAATAAAAGTCGTCTTTTTCGTCTCGCCGTGTGAAAAACAGTTGTATGTGCACAGATGGACCGACTTTAAATTTAGTACTGAGACGTAAACACATCTGGCAGGTATTATCTAGGAACAAATAATATTTTCCTTATTCACCATTTTAAAAATATTGTACCCTGTTAGGAACCCCAGGTTCTAAAAATAATTATTTCATCCCAAATCATTTTTTTTTTTATTTTTAAACATAAAAACTCGAGGTTTTCAAATAATGTTTATATATTATTTTCAAAAGTACTTTATCGTTTCACAACTGCACTTACCTAAAAACGAAACATGCTAATATTCCCGTTATTCGGTTTCAATCTGTTAGCAGATTTACTGGAAATATGGACGAGAGAGATAATTTTTAGAATAAGGCATCGTTTGTCCCAGGAATTTGAACTAGCTATGCCACTGCAGTTTCAAATAGCGAGTAAATAGTAATCTCGTTGAATTGGTATGACATAAGTTTTATATTATAATCGGGCATACAATGGAAATTTAATTCTTACTTTCACTTACTTATATATGTAATATATAGTAAGTGTAAGTTTTGCGATCGAGAAAATTTTTGAATTTGAGTTTTCGACGGATTTATACGTTTTGAGGTACCCTGTGCCGAAATGACCAAGTCCCGAAAAATGGTCTGTGTGTCTGAGTGTTTGAATGTTAGCAGTCTAGCTCAAAAACGAAAAGTCCTATGAAACTTTTTTATTCCTGCTTTTTGAATAAATTAAATTTGGAAACAATTTATAAAATGTTAAAGAAGAAAAAGAAGAAATTCCGTAGTTCAATTAATTTTGAAATCATATCAAATATCTGCAAGTAAGTGTTAATAAATTAGTTTTCACCTGTGTTTAAAATGAGAATGAGAGAGAATACAGATTTAGTGAATTAGATCACTCTAAAAGAAGATTCACAATCACCTGTTAACAAACGCATCCTCGTGTTGGAAATCGGGGTAGATAATTATTTTAGTGGCAATGGGGATAATTCTTTGTAATATTTGAGTGATTTTTCTTCAATATTCCCTATTCTATTGATTTTCATTCCTGTCAACAATACTTAATATTTTCTGCGTCAGAACTGTAATGGAAATATTATTTAATCATGAGTACAACAATGCTGCTTTGATTAATGTTTAAATCATAGGTGAGATGTTTTAATAAGAAAAAAAAAACATTTGCTTTGGCTCAACCTACATTATTTAAGAAGCTATATATCCCGACACGTATAGTTTACTATAACGTTCGTATTCTTATGTTATTTTTTAAAATTTATTATTGTTAATACTGTTGCTGTTTAAATGTCAGGACAGCATCCTAAGCCTTTTGACACAAATTATGGTGTAAAATATACAATCTGAAGAATGAAAACACAATTGTAGAATTTAGAAGGCTACAATTCACAATCTCATTCGATGAAATTATCTATCAGATTAATATCCTCGTGTTCTCTAAAAGCTTCGTGATGAATTATATCAACAGGTGCAGACTTTGGGGAGCGAGGAGGACGATGGCCCCCAAATAAAAAATATGAGAGGGCAAGAATATCGTTTCGCCACTTCTTCTCTCTCCCCCTCCCCCAATAATTTGAGTTTAAAAAATTAAAATCAACAACAAATAAGAATGAAGGAAATGAGATTATATGATTCAATCGTCCCTCAAGTTTCACGTAATATTCTTATCACATTTTCCGCGCCTATCTAGACAGGCTGTGAAAACCGTTGAATTTTTATTTGGTTGTACACGCTAAGAAATCGAAGATATTTTTCAATTTTTTACATTATTCATTATTAGCTAAAACAGTTCTAGAAATTACCAATGTTATGAAGGCTGTATCCCCTCCCTTCTTTGTTTAATCTAAACAAATACGTTATACATTAAATTGTATTTTTTAAGGATATTTTCAAGTATATATAATAAGTAAAACGAAGAAATTAGCTATAGTTGAGGACGGGTATCTCGGAAACTAAGCGAGGAAGCGAAAAAAAAAATATTATCAATCATATAGCAAATTTTATTAGCATTAATTTTGTATAGAACGTCTTAGTCGATGCGATGGATAGTTTTTCTGATATTAGCGAAAAGCCGAAAAAAATGACCGATTAGGCGCTCTCCCCACATCTGGCTCACCATTGACTAGACTATACTACAATCATTACCGAAATGTCACCTTTAATAAGTTTATAGCATTTTGAAAAAGAGATACTTGAGTGTGTACAAACTGCTGGTACAAAGTTTGTTAGTCTTAAAGAATGTTATTATTGCAATCATAAATTAGACGTCAAATACATCATCAAATTATTCTTTCTCAAAAATACACCTTTAGAACTAAATTCTCAACCTTATTTCAACCTCAGCTCAACTATTCACCCGATTAACATTTGCACCAAATTATTATTATGTAAAATTAATTATTTTAACACAAATGTGAACTATTATTTGACTGTTTTTTGTTCTTCACTTTCTCGCCTTTTAGGCTATATGGAGGTTTTTCCAGATGAGAGGGTGAGGGCGGTGGATTAATGCCAAGTTAAAAGATCCCCTTTGGTCTTTTTGAACTCGCAATTATTTAATGCTTTATAATTTCAGTTATCAGGTTGCCGGGCAGTTATTTCTGCTTTATTTAAGCTCTCTTGGCCACCCCACCCATTCTTTTTTAGACTCATCAAAATTGCTTTTTTGGATACCCAGTTGCCGGGCAACGGCGGTGCTGTGCACACACGTTAGCCACTAACGTACTCACAGTAACTCTTCTTTGTACTTTTTTTTTTTTTTTTTTTTTTTTTTTTTTTGTTCTTCCCTACCTCGCCTTTTAGGCCATACGGGATTTTCCCGGGCCGAGGGGTGAGGGCGGGGAATTTTAAATCTTCTTTGTACGGGCCGAGGGGTGAGGGCGGGGAAATTAAATCTTCTTTGTACTTATTGAATGAACCAAATTTTAATCAATACCCTTCTTCTCCGGTCAATGATGTACTGCTTTACTAACTAATCTCCTCCTCTCCCCTCTCCCCCTCATCAATGGTTTCCCGGCTTTACCAGTTTCAAATCTGGTCTCCTCACTTTTAGAATTTCACCTTAATTCTTATTTATTGTACGTATTGTGAATAATCTTCTCTTCTATCACTATTACTATTATCCTTAGATGTGACAGAACGTAATATTTCTCAATAAAGAATGTGAATTTAAAACAAAATCTGGTGCGCGCATCATACGACTTTCACTTACCATCTTCTTCTTAGCAGAAATAAGTTTTTTCAGACAAAGGGGAAGTGAAAGTAAAAATTATTGACACTATATTTATTTACAATTCATTATGGGTATTTTTATTTGTTTAAATACTCTCATATATACAAATTTTAATGTTTATATCGCTGTATTACATACAATTAAATATTAAATAATACCCAAAATAGCATTTATGAAAACCACATATGTATATGAACATATTATCGGAGTACGTACTATGTGAAGCTCATGTCACGTATCGAAACCTGTTGTTATCTTTCGAGCGAGCTCGGGTAAGCCAGGGCAAGCTCATATTCCTTTGATTCCTCAATTACAATTATTATCCGTTACGATCTCTTATTTCTCCTTTCGTTAATTATCAAGCTCTTTCATATTTTATATTTAACTATTTTTATATCAAAGATTAATGTGAAACGGTTAATTATTCCAAATTAAAAAAAATAAAGATACTTTACAGGAAGCCAATATTAAAAATTGGCTCTGATAGAGAACCTCAATGAGAATAAAACCTACATTATATTAAAAACTGCTTAATAATACACTGATATACTTACAAGAGTTTAATCAAAATCGTAATAGTTAAACATTAAAAGCCGATTTAGACGAAAATGTTGCTGTAACATCGAAAGATTACAAAAACCTTAAATATGCAATTTCACTTTCATATGACTTTTCGTTTTTGAGCCTGACTGATAACATACATACATACACACACACACACTTGGTTATTTGGACTTAGGAGACTTCAAAACATGTATTTCCATTGGAAACTCGGACTCGAAAATTTTCACGATCGCTATACTTACCCTTGCTATATATTACATACATGAGTAAGTGAAAGTAAAAAAAAACAATACTTCTATAATTTTGTAGTTATGTTCCAAATTATTTTTGAACTCATAAACTGTTTCTTCTCGCAGTTTCATAATCACTTTTCTTCACAATATATAATGTTAATTATATATACTAATAGTGCACAATAATTCTAAACATCTATATTCGTTTCAGGTGGTCACTCTTTTCGGCAGTATTTAAAATCACTACATAAACCACTTTAAAAATATCTAAAAAATATAATGATTTAATAGTTTCATAGCGCAATCTTCCTTAAAAGCTAGTGTACTATATCATTGAAGAACCGCGGTGCGAATTAACGCATGCCGATGTTCGTGGTAGAAACCCGTCCCCCGCCCTACCGATTTTGATTAAATTTATCATATCAGTGTAAAATTAAGCAGTTTTAAATAAAATGTGGTTATTATTCTGATCAATGTTCTCTAACAGGGCTTAAATGGCTAATTTACTCACCTTACCCTAAACTAGCTTTAATTTTTTTTATTTTAAAACATTGACCATTTCACATTAATTCTAATATAAAAAATGGTTAAATATAAAATGTGAAAGAATTTAATAAAAATCTAAAGGAGAAATAGGAGATCGTAACGGAGAATAGTTGTGATTGAGGAACAAAAAGAAAAAGAGCGCGCACCCAAGTTCGCCCGAATGATTACTACATTCTTCCATACGTATCATGAGCTTAATATAATACGGACCCCGACCATATTATATAAATATACATATGTGGTTTTCATAAATGCTACTGTTGGTATTATTCAATATTTAATTGTATAGATTACAGTGATATAAATATTAAAATTTGTAAATATGGGGTTGCTTATACAAATAAAAATACATACAATAAAACATAAATAAATTTACAAAACTTCGCTTTGTCTGAAAATTTTTATTTCTGCTAAGAACAGAGTGGTGGTAAGTAAAAGTTGTGTGATGCGCGCACCGCACCTGATTTTTTAACTTAATGGCCGACAGAAATTTAATATTTGACCATATTCAAAGGTTCGATGTTAGACGTAGGCAGCATGTAGAGGAAGAAATATTTTAAACAATATATATGTATGTGTATATATATATATATATATATATATATATATATATATATATATATATATATAGAGAGAGAGAGAGAGAGAGAGAGAGAGAGAGAGAAACAAGTTCATGAAACTACTAAAAAAAAACATCTTAAGAAATCATTAAATATGTCCTTATATTATTTAATGTTTCTAGTTTTCTTAAGGAAGAGTTTTGTGTTATTTTAGGTATAAAGTTTGGAAACTTTTCTCTTCCGTGTATGCCAACTTATTCTAAATAATTATTATTTATCAACATACTAGACCTGGGCACTCTTGAAATAATTTATTTCTGAAATAATTCATATGGTCATTCCACGAATAAATTATTTCGGGAATAATGGTTATTTCTGAAATAATATTTAATAATGGTTATGTCAATGAAATAATCTTGATGGAATAACTGCTAAATTTATTTCTGAAATAATTATTTCAATATTTTAACATTCTTTGGAATAAAGTAAATTATTTCGAAATGAGTTATTTCTGAAATAAATTATTTCATAACTATTATTTCAGAATTATTTATTTCATAAATAAATTATTGCAAAAATCAAGAAATGAATATTTCAGAAATAACATTGTTCTGAAATAACAATGTTATTTCTATAATAAATATCATCTAATTCATAATAATCATCATATAATCTAATAATAAATTCTATAATAAATATGAATAATCTATAACAATGTTATGTGGCCTTTTATGTTTTGGGGGTATCTTTTTCAAATTTGTCCGTATTTTCTTAATAAGCTACCTCGAAAACATAATAGTCGATCCTGATATCAATTAAATCCGTTAAAAGTTACAAAAAGCCGATGCGGAAGGGTGGAAGGGCTCAATCTCAGATCTGACATTATTTTTATAAAAAATGCCCCCGAAATCATAACAGTCGACCCGGATATCGATTAAATCCGAGAAGTTACAAAAAGTCAAGTGAGGGGGGTGCAATCGCAAATTCGACAGTATTTTCATATTAAGCTACCCCGAAAACATAATAGTCGAGCCTGATATCGATTATATTAGAAAAGTTACAAAAAGTTGATGTGGGAGGGGGGGGGGTCTGGGTGCAATCTCAAATTTGACATTATTTTTATAATAAGAGCTCCCGAAAACATAACAGTCGACCCGGATATTGATTATATCTGAAAAGTCGATCAGAATGATGATTTCATTACATTATTCCTGAAATAATCATTTTGAGAAATAATTATATCATTATTCCTGAAATAATTTATTCCCGAAATAATCACTTCGGAAATAATGGTCAGGTTATTTCATGAAATAAATTATTTCGGAAATAACTATGGAGGTTTATTTAAGGATTTATACCGCGAATATTTTTCAAATAAATTCTGCCCAGGTCTACTGGATACAACGTCTAACGTTTCGGACTCCTTGTCCATCATCAGAGACACCTCCATTTCACTTCTGCATTGTCTTTTTTTTCCTTATTCTATTTGACAATTATATACCGCCTTGTTAAATATTTTTAACATCACTTCATAGAAAAAATGTATGAATCCTTTGCATTAATTAGACGAGATAACCAGAAACAAAACACATTTAGTGAAGCAATACTGTACAAGGAAAGAGCTCGAAAATTTCTCAGTTGAAAATGAAAAATTAAATTATTTCCTACAAGCTTTATATTTATTTATTTACATTTCGTGAGTATAATTTTAACTCTATAGCATGTGAGTTCGTCATACTTTGTATTATTAAATAGATTTTATTTATTTGTTACAAAACAACATAAAAACTTTTTATGGATTTGTATCGTTAGTATGGACATGAACATGGGGCGAACCCAGGCAATTATTACACCCTCTTTTCAGAAAAAAATAAACCGTACAAGATTATTTTGGCCCGTTAAGTGTTTGAGAAAAAAAATTGAAATTTTATTTTTGGAAACGTTTATTATTATTACAATTTATAAATATTTTTTATATGAAATACAATATATGAATAGAACAACAATTTTTCAAAATTAATTGTCTTAAATTTTCGGCAAGCTATAGTATTATATTTTATTTGCTTTCAAATTATTTAGGGTGATAAACCGTTCATTAGTTTATACTTTTGTTTTAAAATATTTTTACCTTTTAAAGAAGAATTTCATCTGAAATAATTGCAAAAGCGTTGTCAAAAGGAGGTACATTTTTTTTTTAATAGAGGGGCAATTAATTTGAGGATAGGAAAGTAAGTTTTTATTTCCTAATTAGTTATAATATAACCTCCTCTAGGCATCCCTGGTGTGACGGCTTGGGGATGCATGAATTTAAACTCCACTATGGAATTGGTTCTTGACCGGGGTTACTTAACTGCTGTATAAAAGGGAGATCCTAGAACCACGTATTGCCAGAAACGTAGGGGACAAATTCATTTTAACACATGGCAATGCCCGACCTCATGTTGATCGGCTGGTAATAAATCACCTCCAACAAGATCGAAGTTATGAATGGAGAGATCAAGGTTATGGCTTAGCCAACCACAGAGGACGGGATGGCCGAGCACGTTGGGAGGTGGGTCCCAGAGTGGCCGGTTCTGAACGTTGTGGGTTCGATTCCCAGCTGGGACGGTTACCACTGGGTCAACTAGGAGTTTCACTGAACACGCTTTCCTGAAGAAGACCTGCAAAGTCGGGTCGAACCGTTGGCTTTCATTAAAATAGTTTTGCCGCTATTTAGCCTATTTATGAACGCCACCCCGGACCATCTCCTTCCTTAAAAAAAATATTTGTTTTCCTTTTTTCTGATTTAATTCTTATTTTAATAAATTATTCTAGCATACTCAAAAAGATTCCTTTTAAAAATGTCGATTAAAATTAAAATATTGAAGTGATCCTTTAATTTTGTCCAGCAGTGTATTTTCTTAGATATACCAATATTTGAGATACGGCTTGTTCAATTTGGCTCAAAATTAGAAGAAAGGTGGTTTTAGTTAAACAAATGATGTTGTCTCATTGTGTTGGACTCCATCAATTACTTTCTCTATGCGCAAACCGTAAAAAATAATCAAGTACCTATCAATTTTGTTATGAGGTTACAAAATTGTATTCAAAAAGTTGATTTAAACAGTATTTTTTGGTCGATTCCATGTCACTGGCATGAAACTTACTGCCGTTAATTAGATTTCATGTAATTTTCAGTAAGTTTTTTTTTATTTATGATATTTACAAGTGTATTAAGAAAAAACAAAACATTTTAATCCTCCAGTTTTGACACCATTCTTCAAGGCTTGTGATGTGTGATTGAAGAGTTTAGGATGCAATGTTTGGCTCATTATTAACGGATAGGACGCGTGTATCATCAGCATACGTGGTTATGACATTGTTAGGATGGATTGGGATGTCAGCTGTATAAACTGTGTAGAGGATAGAACCTAGGATACTACCTTGAGGAACACCAGCGGACTGGGAAAAGAGGGATAAATAAGCGTTATTGTGATTCACTTTAAAGTATCTATGAGTCAAGTATGAACGAATAATGAGGAAGTATGTAGAATCTAGAAATTTAATGAGTTTGGAAATCAGTACCGGGTGCCAGACTCGATTAAATTAGTAAGTTTAAATAGCCCAGTGTTTTTTTAAAAAGTCTTATTTGTGATTGTATTGGTTTCTTTTGAAGTTCAATCAGCTTGTTTTGGTCTCGATTTCCCATATGAACACAAAACTAGGGTAAAGTTCACTCATATTTTTATATTACACCTTAAATTAGTTTTGTTCTGGATGAAACTGATGGCGAATGTTGGTTTCGTTAATACCGAACAAACGAAAAATTGAATTTTCTCAATAGATTTTTGTTCCATCCATTTTACGAGTGAAAAATATACATATTCAGCATTTTCAGAATATACATTCATACTGTACTGGGATTTTTTAAAATCACGAATAGTAAAATACGCGATTCGCAAATATGGAAACTCTTGCGCATTTTTGTATTCGCTAATAAACAAAACTCACGGAAACAAATCCACAAATGTCCAAGGTTTAAAGAATTTCCGAAAACGGCTTTATCGAAGATTTTATTTTTAAACGAAAAACTATATACCTTGACATATAGATAATTATGTAGCCAGAGAAAATGGGTAGGAATCTATACTGACCTTACTTGGCAGCCTTCTTTTTACTTGATTGAAATAATCAAATATGAATTTATCATAACATTAGGCTTGCATTTCTTCATAACTCCAATATCGTGGTTCATGCAAAAAATTTATGATTTAAAGAATTCAATTGCATTGTTGTGACTTACAAACGTATTTACCATGGAAACGACTGTTATATTCACACTCTTGACACCTGGTGCTTAACGAATTTCATTCTAAAGGTTTTTAATTTAGATCTACCATTTCTTTTGTTTATACGTTTAGAATTCATAACCACCCTTATAGAAGGAACCACCGTTTTGGAGTTTTAAATAAAAATTTCAAAAATTGTTCTTGGTTCTGAAAGTCTCGCTCCTTGTAAGTTATAACAGATGACCAATATGATAAAAAGTCATATGATCAGAGTTATAAATCATTTTATATTCGATAAGCTATCTGAGATATACCTTACGATGAAGATACGACAAATTGATAGGACTAAAATAGTAGATATCGTAAAATTACCTCTACCAGTGTGATCAGTTTGTTGATAATTGTACCGTTTAGTCATAATCAAGGCTCCAATTTTAAGGATATAACCGTTTTTTTTTTTTCTTTTTAAGGGAAACCAGTTCTCAATATACCAATCTTGAGTAGTAGATTTAAAGAACAAAATCCTATAAGATCATTTTTGATATATTTTTAAATGTTGTACAGAATAAACCGTTTTGCAATTTTTCACAAAAAAGATCTTTTTTGCATTAAAATAGATTTTTTGTTTTAAAGTTTTCACTAAAACAAACCTGTTTTTCCAATTTCAAATAAACGATTATCTATTGGGAGGTTCCTCATTCAGAGTTTGATTCATTTGAACATACTTCCAAATTATTATGTTTCCTTTAAGCTAATCTGAATATCTAATAATATCAATTAAATGAAAAAAAACAATCATCAAAATCATCTAATATTGAAATATTTGTTAGACTTAAGTTCTAATAAGTTCTGTAAAACACTGAACATTATCCTTATTCAGTTTTAGTTTTTGTTAAAAAAGTGGTTGGTATATTTGTATTTAACAGTGCTAATGGCTGATTCTGAATGTATATATTACCGAAAGGAGTTACTCGCTAAAACTTTGTTTAAGACGTGGATGGTTTAATTACAGATACTTGCGATACATTCAGACAAGAAAATTTATGCTTACGTTTGTTATAGAATGGCAATTTTATTGGTTATTTAATTTTAGAAATATTACCATGGCAAGTGTCCATGCTCCTACAGAAGACACTGATGAAGAAGAAAAGGATGCCTTCAACGAATAGTTGGAGGAATCCTTGGGCACATGTCCAGGATACGATATGAAGGCTGGGGACCTCAATGTTAAAATAGGAACGGAAGAAAGTTATATTCCCTCAATCGGTAAACACATAGCAGCGAAGAACCTTGCTATTGCAAGTACTATGTTCCCTCAAAAAGTCATTCATAAAGGTACTTGGACATCGTCGGTAGGTCGGTTAACCAGATTGACCACATCCTTGTAAGTGGAAGGTGTATCAGCTCCATACTAAATGTCCATACCGTAGTACTATAGTCTTCGCTAGAATAAACAATGCCCACCGAGGGCAAGCACAGGCTGGGAAGCGCTATGACATGAAGAAAATAAAAGATCCAGTTGTCCAGCAAAGATATGTGTCGACACTAGACCAGAAGCTCATGTGCAGCCATATAAGGGCCGAATGAGGAAAGGAAGAGATACTCTTCTGATATTACACGAAAAGCTGAGGATGTTCTGGGAACAGCTGTAGGAGAAGAGAGAGCACTGTGGTTGGACGATGAGTGTAAATTTGCTACAGATGCAAAGAATGTGGCATACCAGACTATGATCAACAGAAGGATACGACGCACTGCAGAAGAATGTAAGAGATAGAGAAAAGACTCCATCGTAAAAAGAATAGGCAACACAAGCAAAATTGAATATCAGAAATAGAGAAGTTTAGGACAGATAATGATGTCTAAAACTAATGCTAGGTAGCCAACAGAACCCGAAAGCCTTTCAAGCAAATCCTCTCTATGTGTCAAAACAACAATGGAGTCCTTCTTACAGACGCTGAATCCTGCGTGGCGGAATGGAAGAGATACTTCCAAGGCCTGTTAAATGGAGATTGTGAAGTTGACACACTACTAATGTACTACTAGAAGGAGATTTAGAGCCTCCTGACGATGAAGAAGTCGTCCAAGCTATTGAACGATTCAAAAACAATAAAAACCCAAACATTGATGGCCTACAAGTCGAACTATTCAATCAAGGAGCTACCGAACAAATCCCTTTAAAGTGTCATCCTGATTGTATGGGCTGAAGAGAGCATGCCAGAGAAATGGAAGAAGACCTTCATTCATCAGACATCAGTCCTACACATAAGAAGGGAGATATAGATAGGGAAATATCCCTCCTCTCATGTGTCTATAAAATACTATCGAATATACTCTTCCAGCATCTCCTCCCATATGCCGAGCGGCAAATCGGACAGTACCAATTTGGATTCATGCGTGGAAAGTCAACAACAGACCAGATTTTCAGTCTTCGTGGAATTTTGGAAAAAAATAGAGAATATGGATTCAAGACGCATTATCTTTTTGTTGATTTATGCCCGCGTATAATAGGATTGATCGGGATGAACTGTACAAGGCTCTCATAGCCTCATAACTCACTGTCCCTCCTAAACTTGTTCCGCTGATAAGGATGAGCATGACGGGCATAGAATACTTTGTTCAAATCCAAAGAAAGCGATCGGCGGTGGGTTGAGGGGTTTCTTGTCATTAAGAGGAGTGAGGCAAGGAGATGCTTTGTCATGCCACCTCTTTAATCGCCATTTGGAAAAAACCTGTCAAAGAATCAAGGATTCAGACAACAGATACTATTTTCAACAGAACAGTTCAGCTCCTATCATATACTAATGATATATATATATATATATATATATATATATATATATATATATATATATATATATTGTTGGCAGAATATATTAGTCTGTATCCCATGCACTCCTGGCTAATGTTTAAATTCATGGTATGTATATCAAATAATTTTCACTCACCGTTCAATAATTTTAACAGACAGGGGTGCCCAGAAGGGGGTTTCATGGCTCAAGTTGCGCCATCTAAATATTTGAGGAGGACATATTTAAGGGAGATAAATTTCGATCGGACTATGAATGGGGCAAAATTCGATGGGGACTAAGGCACAAGGGGAAAACATGGAACAGACCACAGCAAGTGTAGTTTTATATGATCTACGATTTTTCTAATTCTACCTTAGCTTGCTCTGTTTTTAAGAAATTTGTCCCTTCTCTCCTCCCTCCTCCCCTCAAAAATTAAAAAACCCGTCAAAATATACTTCCCTCAAAAAGCTTGATGGCACAACTTAAATTTATTTTTTCTCTCACATACGATGTATTTAAATAGAAATCAAAATTTCTTTTACTAAAGTTGATTTGTTTTGTTTATTTGAAATATTTAAATATCTAGCATTGTTAGTATTAATACAAAATGGATAAATATTTACTCTGAAAGAAATTTATAATTAACCAAAGCAGAAATAAGGGCTCGTAAGCTGGTACCGAGAACCAACGACCAACAAATTTCCTATGGATTTTTTTCCATCCGTTTTACTAGTGAAATCATTCCTATTAAGTATATATCACTACTGTTATTGCAAAAAGTCGTATGTAAAAAGTTTCAGTTTTTATTCTATTTTTGGCATTTTGTAGTCGGCAACTGATATAAGGAGTCTGCTACCATTGAAAATAACAGAGGGTAATAAAATATGAAATTATATTAATATATCATAAAGAAATTATTAGTTTTTATTATTTTCTCTTATAAAACACGCAATTTTTACATAAGACCTTTTGCACTAACAGTAGCGATGTGCACGTTCAGGTTGCACTGGAATTTTGTTTTTAATTACTAATCATCAAAATTAGTAATTAAAAATACTCTTTCGCATTTCAGTATTCGATGATGACCACATTTCGTGAATATCGAAACCAAATATGTTGAGAGATTATTGTGTTTCCGAAAATCGCTCCTCCCAGAGGTTTTATTCTCATACGAAAAATTATATTCCTTGTAATATAGACATTTTTTAGCCAATGAAAATAGTGAGAAAGCTACCTTACTTGGCAGCCTTTTTTTTTAACATAGCTTCAAGAGTTACCTCATTCAACATCATTTCGTATAGATAGCTAGTTTCTTTCGAAAACTAACTTATATATATTTATATAACTAAATTAACTTTCGGCCTCAGGCTCTCCAAATATATATATATATATATATATATATATATATATAAAGCTTTCGGGCTCAATTCCTCTTCGAACTCCCAAAATTAAATCCTAGATTGTTAATAGCATTATCTGGAACCGTATGGATGTCCAAGTACTTATGTAACAAGTCATTTGTCTCATAAAACAGTGCTTCTGCTATTTTTCGCAGAAATATTGTTTGAAAAATTTGAATTTTGAGGGTGTTAGAAGTTTTCATTATTTTTACTATCCTGTAAGTGCATAAATATTTTGTATGTAATTTGTGGATTGCAATAATGATAAACCAAAATTAGGTTATAATTGCAAAAAATCCAAGTGTACACTCTTATGCCTCCAAGACACAGATAAAATCACTCCATGACATCCACTCGCAATATATGAATAAATTTCAAGATGCTGCGTCTTTGTTACTAAATGTCCGATTTTCAATAAACCTTATTTCGTTTAGTAGTTAGTATAGCTAACTTTACTACTTAAGTCAATTTGAAATAATCTTCAAAACAATCTGACCCGTCTCGATTCAACGACTTACCATTATTGCAGTTTTGAAGGCTACTGAAATGATTGTATCGACTACAACTTGCTAAACTCCCATGAAATTTTGAATCCAACGGTACCCCATTAATGACTCAAGAGCATGAAAGGAGCTTATATTTTGTTCTAATGATATTATATTTTCCAATTTTTAACAACTTTTAAAACTTTAGTTGTAAAATCATGCTATTTTTACCGGAACCTAAGATTTGATCTTTATAAATAATAGATATAGCGAGTTTTGCAGATATATTACGTGTATACATCCATGCAGATATATTCCTTTGTTATAATAAATTAGAATATGACATTTAAAATTACATACAACTATACCAAAAGTTGTCCATGTTCATTAATCAGTTCTATGAGTGATGTTGGCTTAGAAGTTTATCTTTGAAACCTCCAACATTCATAGTTATTTTCTTCCTTTCAAGTCCTAGAAAATGATATTTATAATTTATATTCTTACATCAAACTGCAATAAAATATAATTTAATACGTATGGTCTACTTAAAAATTTCAAATTGA